CGTTTTTTTTATGTAAACCATAATTTTCTACCTACTGGTGCTATTGAACGTTCCAGAATTTGCGGTTGATTAGAATTCATTATTTATTCGGGGCTGATAATGAAGAGAGAAATTTGACCCATTCTATAGTATTATAAAATTATTGAATTTTTGCACATGGAGGTTCGAAAACATGAGTAACATACTGTAAAGTTAGTTCCTACAAAAAATCCTGATTTATGAAACCCATTTCAATTTCAATAAAAACGCACGGCACTGTCCATAATGATGTTTCTTTTCCTAAAAACTGATCATATCAATGGTAATTCATACTAGTCCAAATTTGGTAAGAATCGCACGATTGATAGCAATAATAGCTGAGATATAGAGGAGGGGAGGCGTTTGAAGTGAGACATGCTGTATATAATTATATATTAAACATATATCAATTCGTCTGTACCCCGTTCTGCTGTTCATCATTTGGCTATCTGAGTCTCCCCATGAATCACAAAAACCTGAACTTCGAAGTAAACACTCGAAACACTCGCGAAGTCTAGTGCTACCGCTACCGCAATTGGTCAAAAAGTTTATTTCACGAATCCCAATATAGGCGATATTTTCTATATAATACAAAATATCTTCTATACCCTTGAGAGTCTCTACTTATGTGGAATTCGCCGCTTCAAAAAAAGTCTCTATATCGTCAACCGAAATGCGGCTCGCCCTTTTGCCGACAAACGTTTCACATCGCACCTATGACATCATCTGATGTTTTTATTTATCATTTCGGAGAGCAGGATTCACGGACATCGTGCTATACTTCCTTACTGGAATGCTAAAATTATCTTATAATCCCCATTCGATAATATAAAATAATGTATGGATATTGTGGACAGTATAAAAGTACCCAAGGAATAGGATGAAGAAACAGAAATGATGAAAAATGATATAGATAGCTGAAGTACAAACGTGAATGTGTCGTACTTTTTGAATCACACTGGTAAAATCCCAAAAACGCAAAATAAGCCTGTATTCCAATATTGAAACACAGTTTTCAGCATTCTCCGGTGAGGTCGCTAGGAATCGGTGTCGAAATATTGGAAAACATGGGATTGCGCGCCCCCACTTTTCCCCCTCTAAAAATTTTTTTTTCCTGAAACAAAAAATACTGGACTCTTCACAAAGGATGAACGGATGTTTCTCTGGAAGCGGATTTTGAGTTTTTGTCTTAGTTTTTTCAAAAAAAAATTCTGAATATACTCGAAAAATGCAATGTTCATGATTTTTTTGCAGAATATCGGTGAATTTTTTCAAAATTCTGCTCCCACAGAAACCTAGATATTTCAATTCTCCATCTCATCATATTTTTTGTTTTCCGAAAAAATCAATATTGAACAATGAAAAGTGGGGGCGGAGAAAACATGTTTTCATTGCACTGATGCATGGTGTATCCTCCTCTTAAGAATGAAAACTAGCAATTCAAATAATAAATTCGACACACTTGTCTGATTCATTTCTCAGTCAGCAATTCACAGAATTGCTGCAATAATTGCCAAAAACTGAACTACGAAATGCTCAAGTAGAATGGAATGTTGATTAAAAGCAAAAACTCAATTTAATTTCCACAACTGGTCAATATAATGAACAACAATGGTAGATGACGTGATTGACGGGAAAAAAACAAATCTATATGTATCGAGTCGTATCCTAGAATCGTTTAAACGAATACTGTGTTTTCTTGGAATTGATAACTTCTATAGGCCCATTATTATAGATTTTTTGGGATTTTCTCTCCTCGTTTCTATAAAATAATAAAAATATCAATATCATTTCAATATACGTGTAGCAAGGACCAATTAGATGATTTGCTCCGAAGAGTCACTTTCGTTTAACTTCAACTCGGCTATCAATTGCAGACCCGACCATAATATACAGTTTATCGTCCTTATTGGTACATAAATAACTATTTTTTTCTACTCACATAACTAAAATGGCATTTAGCGTACGGATATGTACCACGCTAAATGATCGATTAATCGCGGACTGTCGATCTGTGATTTATTCAAAATATTAAACACGTTACCATGGCAACACGATTTCTTAAACACACTACCATGGCAACGCAGTTCATTAAACACAGCTTCAGTAATTTGAGACATGTCTGGCCTGTCAGTTGAATTAACTGTCAACTGTTATTTTCGAATTTTGTATCAGAATAATTCTAACAATATTCGTTTGTATCAGAATTCTTCATCGAAAAAATATGCGAAAAGTAGACGAGAGTGGAATCGAAGAGAATGTTCTGGTACTTGCATATCTCCAAGAAGTGTAAAAATGAAGCATCCATCTTTGAGAGAACAATTTATTTATTCTGCGCTAAGCATGACAATAAACGTGAAACAAAGGTTAGTAAGCAATGGACTGGACTGGTATGTTAATGTAATTTTCGGAGTTCGTAGAAAAAGCATATAGTATGTCGTTTATTAAACACTCACTCCGCTCTGCTCCGCTCGTGCTCAAACTACTCGTTACTAAAAGGACGTTTATAACACTTGTTACATAATATACTATTAACGCCGAATTCTTCTTGGATGGGAATTTGATTTTTGTAGTGTTTATCTTCTTCTGCTCTCTCTAGATATATATTTCTATGTTCTCATGAGACAGGCTTCTACGAGTCTATAAATGCTGACATAGATTAAATCAATAGGTGAGATGCGACAACCCTGCACTGATAAATACCAAAAACCCGAAATTCGAACCGATCAATCAGTGCAAAGTGAGTCAATATACAAATTTTGATGGCGATGCATTTACCACCCAGCAAGTTAGTACCAAATATACGAACAACTTTTTTTTTTTTAACATGATGTTCCTTTACTGTTTGTACATTGTATTGAATTGAATAAAATTTCACTACCACAGACTATACAGGATGTTTCCTTAGTCCACCAGAATCTGTTTCCCTAAGACAGAAAAAACAAAGGAAAATAAGTGGGCCCAGAACTGCATATCATAGAACCTGATGTGCTTATGAGTTTTAGCAAGTCTTCTAGATGTAAATATAGGGTCGATATAGTTGAGAGTTTTGGTTAAGAGATTTCAGCAAACACCGATTACTGATTAAATATATTCTCTTTATGGCATATCGAATTCAAGGAACTCGTATGAGCTAACATTCAAGTTTCCACTTTTATTTGAACAGTATCTAAATTGATAGGGAGATAGGATTGAAACGTGGAAAGATGTATGTTTACGTTACAACTTTAGAAATCGATATGGAAGTAAATATTAATATTAGATGGTGTAGTCTAAATAAAGGAAGTTCACTTGGAGTATTCAATGATAGTGTTTAAATTGGATTTAAATTACTGACTTCAAGTGAACGTCATAGTATATTCAACGAGCGAATAATGATGGCTATTATTCACGCAGTACGTCTATAGAACGACAATAAAGCTTTTGGAATCCTTTGCCAATGGAATAAGTATCCTCAAGAACTTATAACCTTCAAGATTTTTAAAAAAATCCAACACATACCCAATGAACTCAATATAAGGTGTTTATATTGAGTTCATTGCACATACCTCCTCTCAATAACCTCAACCTTGCCGTTCTTGGTAGACACGACGTTCTTCGAACATTACAGGAATTTCCTTCCGTTCGCTCCAAGAGAGAGCAAAAAAAGAGCAGAAGGCGAAGAAGGCTGAAATCATCCTAGTGAAAAATAGTCATTATGCGAAGGTATAATATCATCTTCATACTTTGTCTGCAACTATTTAAATCTCGAAGCAAGTTTGAGAGTTGAGAATAAATCATAATAATATCATCATCATACTTTGTCTGCAACTATTTAAATCTCGAAGCAAGTTTGAGAGTTGAGAATAAATCTTTGAAAGTCAGATTGTTCATACTGCTACATTGCTGAATTCGATCAGATATGCTAGTGTCATAAAGAAATATCGACTCATAATAAATTAGTTTCGAGGTAAATTATTGAGTAATTATATAATGTACACTGCTGCCCACATAGATCGTAACGGCTCTTGAGTTATGTTGGTATATTTTGTTTAAGCCCATGTACTATTCATCGTTTAGGCACAATGTCGGTCTACACAAGGGTCCACCTCATTTGCATTTTATGACCTGAATTAAGTGTTTTGGGTGCATTCAATTAGAAGAAAAATGAGCAGTATTGGTTTCAAGAATACCATGAAATAAGGTCTTGTGTATATTTTTACATAGAACCGTTGTAGAGATTCAGGATATTGAAGACTTGGAAAAATATGACATTTATATCATTCATCTCAAAAAAACATTCCTCAGATTCCTCAGATTTTCTTGATATTTGATAAGTTCTATTGAAATAACAAAATGATTAGAATTTGTTTTATCTATCTGAATAAGGCGTCATAGGCAGCGGATGAGTATCATAATCGAAGAATATGTCGCGCCAATATATTTCTGAGCTGAATGTCTCTTTCAGATTGAGCAATGAAAGATTCAACTCTTTTGACCCTTGATTTTTTTTTTCAACTCACTTTGAAAATTGGAAACATCTTGCAAGAATTTTGAATTGACTCCGCCGTTACTTGATGGAAATCCATAGGGAATGTAAAAACTTAACAAACGGTAAGATTTCCACCAAATTCTTAGTCACACGTCATGTTTCGCTAACACAGTAGCTTCATCAGATGAAATACTGGTACAATGAAATAAACTCCGAAAAGTTCGTAAGCAAGCCATATTGATATGTATCCTATGGACTGAACTAGACACATCTACAACCAATATCACTTATACTTATGTCATATTAGTTGCATGCAGTTTCATAGTATTATGTATTATATTCTTAATTCCCTTTCCCTTCGAATTATTTTGTAGGTTAGCAGATAAGTTGATCTAATTTTAGGAATTATGGGATCATGTCGAAGAGAGGAATTATGAGTTCGTCGAAAAAGTAAATGTTCGAATTCCAGTCACCCTGTACATCAATGAGTCGACATAAATGATGATCTCACCTTGAGTATTTTCGATCCCAGATATGAATTCGTGCAATACAGTGCGATTTCAATAGCTCCCATTAATAATAATTGAGTAATGGTTGTTCTGCCTAAGATGGCGCCCATTGAGATCAGCACACTGGCTGCTGCTATGTCAGCCCTGTATAAACTGCAACAGATAGTCGATATAAACAACTAGATAACTAGTAGTATGTGCACTTGAACACTGCGTTGCTAGACGAAAGTGCCGTATGTATAAAACAGCCATTTTGTGAAATGGGGCCATTCAAATTTTACTTTGGCCAAGAGACCTTATAGGTCGCGTGCACGATGACCGACCCTGGAGGTAAAACATTGAAACACAACCTCACTTTTCTCATTTGTTTTCAAAGGAATCAAAGGATTGCAATCGAAATGCATGCCATCTCATTGTGCTGTTGTACAATGCACAAAAAATGCAGCACGAGATGAAGGAATATGATTTTTCAGGTGAATAGTGATCTCACATAGTTTTCATTATGAAATTTTGTCATTTCTCATTATAATTCCTTCTGCCTCTTCTGCAACAGATGCTATAATACCACTGATGAAATGAAAATGTCTACTTGATCATATTTCGTCAGCATATCAGACCAGTTCTCCCGTTTGATTGCATGAATCCAACCTTCTTGCCTTCTTTTAGAAACTTCAGGAGTAGTTCTATTTGCTCCTATTGCAGACGGAATTCCAATGAGAAATGATAGAATTTCAATATGAAATCTATATGTGAGTGACTATAGTATTTTATTCAAATAACCTACCTGAATAATCGGATTCCTTCGTGTCTCGCTGCATTTTTGTGCATTGTAGGTACAACAGCACAATGTGATGGCATGCTTGTGCTACCCTCGGCTGACGCCATCGGGGCATTACCCGCTGAAGGCCGCATAAACGCATTATACGCACGTGATGCATACAAAATTTTATGTACTAGTGACTTATTTCCGAATTGAAAGGAATGACAAGATTACGAATACGAATAACGCAATTATTGTTATCGTAAAACTCTTTATTCACCAAAATAGATTCATTTCTTGGAATGTTACAAAATGCATACCAATAAAGTACCTACAGTGTGACCCACTTAAGACCGGAGCACCCTCATAAAATCTATAGTTTTAGGCCGTTTTTTTGTTGTTTCGGCATCAGAAGGACTATCCGGTGATCTATTTTACACAAATTCGCAAAATTAAATTTCAATCTACAGGGCATACTATATTATTTTTTTTATGTTAAAAATTGCGAAATATCATTAGCGATAATTTTCAGAAAAAATCGACCCTACCACTAGATTCAGCATCCTTCAATCAGGTTGATCGCAAAATCTCATTGAAAAATTCCAATTGGCAATGATGTTATAAAAACATTAATTTTGATGGCTCACCATTTATTATGAATATTTCATACAAATTCTGAGGAGCGGCAACATTGTCAACACAAATGTTAGAAATCATCGAGGTTTCTGGTATACATTTGAATTGATAACACAAATTATCATCGAGTTATAGTCTCTAGAATGGTACTCTTTTGGAATGAAGTAATGAAGTCGGAAAAACAGCTTTTTATAATAAGTTAATTATCAATGTAAACCAACAATTTCTGAAAGCTCTTGATGATTTTGGCTTCTGATATTATCTTACTATACAGACTATGCGATTTTCTAACTCTAATCACTTGGATGAGCAAGGCCGATTTTTCGATGTTATGAATTTTTCATTTTTTGCATGAATCTTTCCATGAATACCAAGATAAATTCCATTTAAGATGTTATAACTCGATAATAATTTGTGTTATCAATTCAAATGTATACCAGAATCCTATATTGATGATTTCCAACATTTGTGTTGACAATGTTGCCACTTGTCAGAATTAGTCTTGAATATTCATGAAAAATTATTAGCAATTAAAATAAATTTTGTGATAACTTTGTTGCCAATTGATATTTTTCAATGAAATTCAGCGTTCAACCTAAATGAAGGGTGCTGAATTCAGTGGTGGGGTCGCTTTTTTTTGAAAAAAAAATCGCTAATGATATTTCGCAATTTTTAACATGAAAAAAATAACATAGTATGCCCTGTAGATTGAAATTTTATTTTGCAAATTTGTGTAAACGTAGATCTCAGGATGGTCCTTCTGCTGAAACAGTTTAAAAACTATAGATTTTATAAGGGTGCTCCGGTCTTAAGTGGGTTTCAGTGGGTGAAAACTTTTGACAGCAAGAAAGCAATAATTATTCAAATAAGTGCGTTAGTAGAGTGATTCATGGAATAGAATGAAGAAGAACATGTATACAATATACCGGTAGAAATCATAGAATCTGCTTAGAGTGCAAACATACTTTACGCCCGCAAACCCGGGCTGTAAAATGCACTTTAACGCCCGCTAGTGCATGAAATTATATAATTTGCACACGCATGGCATGGCGCGCCCCCCTGAACGCTGACACCATCCAACCGCGACATGTTTTCTGCATCCGACTGTACCTACCTAGTAATTATTATATTTCTTCGAACGCGAAAATGTTTGATGATTATGTAACATCCAGTTTGCTCTTATACAAGAAGTTTTTTCGTTCATACGCCATATCATTATAATTCAACTGTCAGCTTGTGTGTATTAATCAACGCAAGCGGTAGGACATTTTTCCAGGAATTCATATTTTTCTGTCCTGGATATGAAATTCTCGACAGGACAGATCATGATGAAATCTCGACACCAATTATATTGAAATTCCTCTCGTTCAGTCGTCGGTCCTCATTACTTCTAGATTTCGCGTTTTCTGGCACGCGATTATGATCTATTTTTTCACCGTAATAACATCCGCTTTTTATTCTTGTCGGTAATGGTAAAGTGGTATACAGGGCGAGTCAAAAATGTATACCCATCAGCTTTCTGGATGTAATAGTACATCTATACTAATATTATGAAGAGGAAAGATTTGATTGTTTGTTGGTTTGTTTGTATAGTAGAGTGCCAATCGAATCCTATCGTTCACCCCGTGGGAAATCGGAGGTAAAAAGCTGTAACATGACTAGAATTGTTATTTACCATCTCCACTTGTCGTCAAAAAATCGTCCTGTGCGTTTGGGGGGTAGGGCGTAATTTATAAAAAAATATGGATTTTTTTTATTCCTGGAAAATATTGATGGGTTTCAGAACTTCCACCCTGTTGAATCTTCATTTCGTGTGGCAAGTAGAACAAATTATAGAAAATATTGAAATTTACTAATTACATTACGATATAATGAGAAAATCATATTTCAAACGCCCTTTAACTCGAAACTTGTAAATTTTCGTTAAATTGTTTTTCATATACCTCGCATAGTTTGGAAGGATATACACTGTGTCCATGAAGTCACCCCCCTGGTTAACTTTTGAATGACTGAGATTTTTTTTTCATTTCGCTCCAATGGTAGTTTCAGTACTACATTTTGATTGAAAAAAAAATTCTCAAATGGAGTAGGGGGTCGAAAACTACCTCAATTGAAAAGTCTCACGATTCTCTATGCAACATTATAATTTATAATTTAAGAGAAGAATATTCATCCAAAACAAAATGGCGGAAGATAATGTCAAAGTGCTCTCTCATGTGATCGTCAACTCTGAAATGTTCTCCATCCATGAAGATATCAGAAGCCATTTTGTAGAACATAACATGATAGTTATATACCTTAGCTCTTTCAGAATTTTGCAAAATTCTGGAAATATTCATTCGAAATCAAGAACAATGTTTATTTCACATGAATGAATGAAATACAAATGAAGACACGAATCTGAAATCAGCTTTTGATATCTTCATGTATAGAGAACTTTTTAAGACGACAATAGAGAGTTGAAGATCATATGACAGCACTTCAATAGTCGAAAGGGTCCTGGTCTGAGATTTAGAACATTTTCATTCGCCATTTTGTTTTTTATAACTATTTTCGTCTGAAATTCTGAGGTTGTGAAGAGAATCGAAAGACCTTTCAATTGAGGTATCTTTCGACCCCTCACTCTATTTAACATATCTTCCAAAATGGCGTCAAGGCGCCTCCTCTAGTGTGGATTACCATAATTATTATTATTAACACGAATTCATCATATGCAATAAAACACAACATATAAGACGGAGAATTACAAGACAATGGATTTTTTATAGCTAATCCCTACTAATATTATGAATGTGAATGTATTTGTTTGTCGGGCTTTTACGCCAAAACTACTCAACCGAATACCATGAAATTTTGTATTCATATTCAGTGATGTATTAGACAAGATATTGATTTCTTGAATACGTATTCTAAGACTGGTGAGTCTCAGATTGATTAGATTTGATCATGATATGAACATGACGAATATCTAACCAAACATCAACTGAGTAGGTACTATGAAAGCGCAAAATGTATTACTGCATGGGAGATACCCTTCAGATTTTCTGCTATGGGTTGCGTGCAAGAACTGTCAGATGACCGAGGCTGGCGGCAAAACATTGAAACACAACGTCACTTTTCTTATTTGTTTACAAGTGATCGAAATAGTTTTTCACAATTATCTTTCTATTTTTTCGCTATTCATCAATTCGCTCATGCCATCATATTATGCTGTTGTGAAATGCACAAAAACTGCAGCGGAAGACGAAGTAATCCGGTTGGTACATTATGATTTATAAGTAAGTACCTACTATAGTCACTCACATAGTTATCATTTTTTAAATTTGGTAATTTCTCTGATTTCTCATCGGAATTCCTTCTGCGATAGGAGCTAATAGAAATACACCTGAAATTTCTAAAATATTGCAAGAAGATTGGATTCATGCAATCAATCGGGAGGACTGGTCTGACATGCTGACGATCGTGTGTGTTGTAGACATTTTCCATCAATTAGCAGCATTAGCCTGTATTGCAGAAGTGGCAGAAGGCAGAAGGAATTTCAATAAGGAATGACAACACATTTCATAATGATAACTATGTGAGATTACTATTTACCTGAAAAATCTTATACTTTAGTCTCTTGCTGCATTTTTTGTGCATTTTACAACAGCACCCTTACACGTCACGCCATATATTGTGAGTACATGGTGTTTTTTACCACGCTGTGGGGACATTGAAGTTGTATACGTGAGCAGATTCCCCGTATTATGACGATTTTGAGAATATAAGCCGTTTTTCTTTACACTCCATAAAAATACCATGAACTCGTGATTCAAGTTATGGGGACAGTCCTTTTTGTAAATGGGCGTTTGTACTTGTGTATACTGTACTCACAATAAATTATGACTGAACTATATGTATGGCTCCACAATATATTAATCGATGAAATGTGTTAATGTGTCCTCACAACAATACATACATTCTTATTGAGTATCATCGGTACCTCTCAAAACCCACTAATGATGAGTTATATACAGAGTATATTTTGAAATATCCCTGAAAAATTGAAGAGCGATTTCTTGTCAAAAAAGAAAGGGCTATTTTTTTGAAGAGTGAAGTGAAATAAAGTTTTTATAAAAGTTAATATTGGAAAGTGACGTTGAATTGGTTTTGTTTCACTTCTGATCTTTTTTTATTTCATTTTCAAAAGACAACACTTTTTTTGAAAAGTTAATGTTTGTTGCTCCATTTATCTATTTTACCCCATAACCCAACCTAATCCCTGAATAAACACTCATTTTGATTAAATGTATATGTACACTCCATGAAAATATCTCAAACACGCGATGTTATGGGGACAGTCCTCTTTGTAAATGAGCATTTGTATACAAGTGTATTGTTGAAATCAATGGCTATAAGTACCCACAATAAATTTTGAGTGAAATACATACAATGACTCCACAACATATTAATCAATAAACTGTGTTAAAGTGTCCTCACAATAAGTAATACCCACGTTATTACTGGGTGTTGTACATCCCAATACCCATGCACAAATGAATAGTTATACATAATAGCTTATATATGGAGACATAGATAAGAGTTGAAAGTTGAATACAATTTCGAGAGATATCGTATTGAGAAGATATTTCATATTTCTACTACTAGAACCTACATTTTTGACAAAAAATATCTCACTGTTTTGAAAAATATCAATGAAATACTATGTTTACCTAAAAACTCATTAGTGGGTATTGGGATGTACTGATAACACGCAATATGAATTCAGAATTGTTGTGAGGACAGATTATTACAGTTCATTGATCAATATATTGTGGAGTCATACGTGTATTACATTAATATTAATTTATTGTGGGTACTTACTACTTATAGCCATTTACTCCATCAATAAACACGTACAAATGCCCATTTACAGAGAGGACTGTCCCCATAACTTGAGTAGCGTGATATTTTCATGGAGTGTATAGAATGAAACTATGACCTCATTTTGGATTTTTTAACAGTGGAATTATTTCAATTACTTTACATTCCTAAAACTTATGAAGAATTATAATCACATTATCATCAGTATATCACATTATTTTTATTTCGAGTGCATATTAATATTTTTCGAGTTTTCTCTTGAGTCTCTTCACTGTCGGTTCAAATTTCTTTGATTAGAATATTGATTAAATCTTCAATTATTTTTCTGATTAAGGATAACATTCTATATGGCGTTTTTAGCATGAGCTGAAAATGCTTAAATTGAAATATATGAACGAATGTAAAAACATCATTTATCATTTTAGAACAGTATTATTTACACTTTTCTATATCGATGCATGTTCCCTAGCTCTTAGGGCGCTAAGTGAAGTTGCTGAGAACATTACAAAAACCAAGTATGTGGTAGGTCTCGTCAAAATAAACTACCTGCCTATAATTCTTATATAATTCTTCATGAGTTTTAGAAATGTATCGTAATTGAAATAATTCCACTGTTAAAGAATCCAAAATGAGATCATAGTTTCATTCTATACACTCCATGAAAATATCACGCTACTCAAGTTATGGGGACAGTCCTCTCTGTAAATGGGCATTTGTACGTGTTTATTGATGAAGTAAATGGCTATAAGTACCCACAATATATTGATCAATGAACAGTAATAATCTGTCCTCACAACAATTCCTGAATTCATATTGCGTGTTATCAGTACATCCCAATACCCACTAATGAGTTTTTAGGTAAACAGAGTATTTCATTGATATTTTTCAAATCAGTGAGATATTTTATGTCAAAAATGAAGGTTCAAGTAGTAGAAATATAAAATATCTTCTCAATACGATATCTCTCGAAATTGTATTCTTCTAAATAGTAACTGTAAAATCAAATTTACGAAAGTACGTATAGTCCGTGAAATAGAGTTGAATTAAAAAATAACATTATATATGTATATTCATTCAAGCACGGTTAATGAAAAATTCAATACATAATCAAAATATATTGTTCTAAAATGATAATAGTTATTTATGTATCAAGGGCGTAAAGTAGGCGTTTATGGCCTGTGGCGTGAATAATGGCCCGATGGCGCATTTCACGCACGTGATACAAACAACATTTCATGCACTAGTGGTTTATTTTCTGACTCAAAAGTAATGACTATAGATTTTGATGAACTAATATTCCTCCGAATTTAATATATTATGTATAAATTCAGTCATCAAGAGAAGCATAATGTTCATGGATGATATACATATAAAAATTATCGTACGAATATTTCAATTATCATAATAGTAGAACTCTTTGATCTCTAGAAAAGATTCATTTTTCAGAATTTTACAATTTGCATACCCAGTATATATACCTACCCAATTTTGACATTGTCAAGCAAGCTGATGGTTGTTGTCCGCAAAACCGGGCGGTAAAGTGCACTTTACAGCCCGCTAGTGCATAAATGATATTTTTACATGCGTTCACATATTTCCATTTAAGCATCCTTAGCTCATGCTAAAAAACGCCATATAAAATGTTATTCATATATCATAAAAATAATTGAAGATTTAATTAATAATCTAATCAAAGCAATTTGAACCGACAGTAAAGTCATCACTGGTATTATACACTAGCGAAAACTCGAAAACTATTAATATGCGCTCGAAATGAAAATAATGTGATAGGGGGCGCCACTACACGGTTCTTCTATTGTGTCCTCACAATATATGTACTCCTACACTATCTTACTCTTGTACTTTCTACCAACTTTATGGGGACATCACATTCTCGTTCATAAATCCGTTATAATGTTGAATAATAATTCGAATGACAAATTTTCTGAAACAGAATTCAATTTTCTATTCAGCAAACATAAAATATAGTTGGGAATAATATTATTAAGAGGATTTATTTACAAGAAATGTTGTGGGGACGTGTTCATGTCCCCACAATAGACACTGTCCCCACAGTCCAGTAGAATTCACGGCCAAAACCCGACAATAAAGGAGTGACGTACGCACAATGCGAAGGCATGCTCGAATTAATGAATTGCGCAAAAAACACGATTCGTATGCCAAAATATCGTGAAAAACTATTTAATTCCTTTGATTCCTCTGTAACCAAATAAAAAAGTGAGGTTGTGTTTCAATAATTCACAGAAGAATTGAGGTTGTGTTTCGATATTTTGCCTCCAGGGTCGGTCTTCGTGCACGCGACCTATTCAGTGATTTGACCACGAATGACATCATTGACATTGACGTTTTGGTCTTCTGTGTAATCAAAATGCATGATTCAATACTACCTGAATTGGTCCATCTTCAGATAGGGCGCAACAAATAAAAAGTTTTTATTCAAGTGAAATACATGCATCTTGACTTTTGTTATTGTGAATTATTTCAATGAAGTATGTTTTCAGTTTCTGAAACTTCATTGTATGTAGTAACTCTTCATACTTAATCCCATTTATGAATTATTGAATGAATAATATTTCTGTCCCATTCGTCGTATTTCAACATATGGCAATTGTGCTATGGTCGGCCCCTAATCCGAAATGGTTGCTCATATTACTGTACCATATTTCCAAAGGAATCGTTAACAAATGCAGAAGTTACAGGGGACTCCCCATACCCTGTGTCATCCTAAGAAAAAAATATTTTCTGTTGACTGGTCTATATTACCTTTCGAGTCCCAATTCGATTTTATAGTCTTCGGTGATATCGAAGAAACCCTGGCAAAGCATCGCCCACTGGATAATAAAAGAGCCCAATAATAATGTAAATCCGAGGCTGCTATATCCATAACGTTTCAGGAATGTCATTAAAAAACCAAATCCGATGAATATCATAACGTGGACGTCCTGAAACACTGAAAAAAAAGCGGATTCCATGATCCATTCTACATTGACGAGATAACGATGTGCTTTAGGGCGGAAAAATTCCACTTGATGGACACAGGGGAAAACACCGTGATATTTTTTCCAGATGGACTCATTACATTATATTACGAATAATACGAGGTAGTAGTTTCCAAAGTGTCAGTTGGATTACACCAAACATATACTGCGTATATTGGTGGGATCAGGATAACACTTATTTTTCATTCGATTATGTTCATTAATATGCACCCTCTTCGAGCTACAGTCACTGTAAGTTGGGTAGAAAACAAAAGATTATCTGAAATTGTGATCACAATAACAGATCAAGTGCAAGTATTGCAGTACCACACGCCTCTAAAATAGCAGTCTCAAATGCATTCCGACAACACCTCCGTATGCAAAGCGTTTAACATTTTGCGTTCGAAAACGATAGTCGTTTATTACGATTTTCTAGAAAGCGGTAGTTGTATGATAAATGCGAGATCCCGAATTCTTGAGTTTTTTATGGCCCACAAGATTATGCTATTCAAAGTCAGATAGTTTCTCTTTTGTGAGATGAAATTTTGGCCAATATAAAGGGTTGACCATTCTCCAACTCCATGAAAACTGGGTTTACATCATTTTTGAAGCAAGAAGGAAATATAATGTCCGAGAAGACAATGGCATGCCAATTTTCAAATGAAGTAATCCGTTATTTCATAATTTTAGATTATCTTTTTTTTTACCTAACTCACAGTGGCTGTATGAAGCTAGGAGAAGGTACATTTTAAGACACATGTTCATATGAGGATGAACTCTCATTTTGACACCAACAATATGACCTTGGAATATTAACATCGAATTTCAAATCACCCTGTATATGGATGTTTCAATAAATAACTAGAATATTGTTCACATGTTTGAGTCGTGAGGAATGAAGGTTTTCTCATATTTACTCTCTCCAAACTACGAATTACAAACTGAATTCTCGTGATATTTCCTAGACATGTCTATTTTTCCATTATTAGATTTTTTCACCAGATATTTTCGGTTTTTCAGGCAGCACTAAGGGGAAGCAAGTCCCATTGATGCCCCCCCCCCCCCCCCTTCTTAATTACGCCACAGATCTGAACCTTACCATGCAAATGATCATAATATAGGTATTTCCATATTTTCTTGTATGAAATTCAAGAGGTTCGCAGCTGAATCATAACAAAACTAGAGTCCCTGTATATACCTTGGACAAGAGTCCGGACACAAAACTGACAGCCGTAGGGTTTTTATTATTTTGGTTCATTTGGTTTGCCCACCTGACAATGTGACGAAACACCATAGTCGTCCCGCCCGCTTTTTTTAATTATTTCGAATTTCTGTCACTGTCACTTTGAAATTTTATTACCGCCAAAATTCAGCATTTTAAATTATTTCAATGTCCTGCTGCGTACATTATTGCGATGATTCATTAGAAAAAGGATTCAAGTTATTCGATTTTCTGAATGATCCTCTAAAGATAATGTCATGGAAGAATGCAATGAAACGTCCAGAATGGAAAATTAATTTCAAGAAATCCGCAATATGTGAGGTAAATATTCAAATTTACTCGTGAAAACAGTACAAAAAAGATGAATTTTAGGCCCATTTTGATAGAGATTCTTTCAAGCTGATGGATTTCAAATTGAAAGAGTCTGCTGTGCCGTTATGAATACTGCTGTATACGTACGTACAGAGGAACCTTGTCACCATCGGAGAAAACCTAGATGGTATAGGTACCTACCTAGATACTGATCTCAAGAATCTTGCAATTATGATTTCCATTATATCTACTAGGGAGTATAATATGTACCATGAGTTCAATATAAGTATAGTAATATATATTGTTGTTTTGATTTTGTCACTTTTATTTCTGCTGAGTGTTATTGAATTGAGAGAATCCGAGAAAATTATATTGAAACAATCATATATCTTCTACTTTTTCATATCCGAACAGAAAACAACAATATTTTCTTGGCTATATGTGATATCACGTAGAACACTTAAATTATCTTTCTTATATCTAATGAAGTGAAGAAATATCTGATGACGAAAATTTGCAATAGCTATCTCAGGAATTGATTATGAAAATAATCGAATAGTTATTCTAGTTAAAATAGCCCTATTTCTCACTTCTACCTACGGCTATGAACGATTTGACAAATAATCTGACCCTCAAAATTGTTTCTGACAATCATTGATACTAGGGGAATTGAAAAGACAGAGCTCGATATACAGGGTACCTCACGGTCGATGGTACGTTAGACGTTTATGGAGAACGGGACATAGGATCATTCTGAAATTTTGGTTACTCACGTAGTTGCTCTTGGTCTATCGATCTAAAATATTTTCAGCTCTGCAGCGTTACCGCTTCTATAGAAAAGTAGCAACAACTTTGTTATTCTGAATGGAACACTCTGTATTTTATTGCATTTTCAGATTCTCTCTGAAGAGCTGATTTCATCGATGTATCACACTTGGGGTCTAGCGAAAATGATTACAGAGATATAGGGTGTGAAAAATCGACATTTGTCAACTTTATAGGATTTTTTTTTTGTCGAAACTATTCATTATTGGTCAAAACGGCTCACATGTCCCTATCTCAAGTTTCGATCAACTATCTACTGACATTTAATTGAAACAAATACAGTGTCGTGCAGAATTCAGAATCTTGATCACCCGGTATATGTCCCAATTAAATATCAGTAGATAGTTAATCAAAAGTTGAGATAGGGACATGTGAGCCGTTTCGACAAAAAAAATTCCTAAAGTTGAAAAATGACGATTTTTCACACCCTATATCTCTGTAATCATTTCCGCTAGACCCCAAGTGTGATACATCGATGAAATCAGCTCTTCAGAGAGAATCTGAAAATACAATAAAATACAGGGTGTTCTATTTGAAATAACAAAGTTGTTGCTACTTTTCGATAGAAGCGGCAACGCCGCAGAGCTAAAAATATTTTAGATCGATAGACCAAGAGCAACTACGTGGGTAACCAGAATTTCATAATGATCCTATGTCCCGTTCTCCATAAACGTCTAACGTACCATCGATCGTGAGTTACCCTGTATATGTCTTACTCCTTTATTCAATCATCAATGCATTTTTTGAAAACAGAAAAGGACAGAAGTATAGCTGTGTCCGGACTCTTGTCTAAGGGACTCTAAACAAAACCATAATGAGTAATAACAAAAAATCTCTACTCACTTCCATATTTACTAAGATCACTATTGTCCTTATAAGTGGTAAACACGCAAAACAAAATCACCAACAGCCCTTGACTGACCACTAAAGGAAGCACACTTTCCTTCATGCCCATGTTTTATTTCTCTCAATCCACGACCACCACGACCATCTATTTGAAACGCTATCCAATCTCAATAGCTTCTTGTTTGGACGTCTTCTAGTCAAGCCTTGAGCGTTCCCCAAATAATTAATGCTGAAATTGCTCTTAAAAAACACAAAGTAGGGCAGAACAACAAGATAATTTTCAGTAATGTGAATGAGAGCTTGCACGAATACTGCTGTTTCACAGCATAGTATCTCAAATTGATAGTTCAAATAATAAGTATTGTTATAATGATTCAGGAAATCTAACAGAACTGTTAATTTCTGTCTATTTTTAGTGCATGAGGGGGAATAAAATTATCACTTCATCAACCAGAGTGAATTTGTAAACAACAAAAAATATCTTGATATCAGTATCAATCGGTACAGGAAAGATACGGGAATGATGATGAAATTAGCCAATAGGCCTAATATGACCAAAACAACTTAGATTTCTAATATTTTCCCGTGAATAATATAACTAAAATCAGTAGATTATCGACGTGAAATTCGAAGTTTTTAACAGGAATTACTTTTGTGTTACTAGCGTCTTTTTGCAGGCATCTTTACCATTCTTTAGAAGTAATCAAATATCTGTCAGTCTAAATTCTGTGATTTGATTTCAAAAAATTGTGAACATAGTGGTTGTTCAGTAATTTACGTTACCGTAAAGTGGAATGGATGTTAAAAGGATTTGCAGTTCTTTCTCGGAGACGGTGTTATTAGTTAGAACTAGCACAACAAAAGCCATCAACAGTGTGTATATACAGGGTGTTTCAAAACAACCTAACCCCCCTGCTAGGGTAGGTAGAACATTGCTCAGTACAAAAATCGCGTAACGCCATCCGTTTTCAAGATACAAGGTGTTGAAACAATATTTTTTTACACATTTTTTACGATTATGTTGAAACTACTGGCGACATTGTGATGACATTTTGTATGGATGTTTCTTGGAATCTGACACATAGCATGCATTTGTTTTTATATCTGACTCTCATAGAGGGCGCTAGTTACACGGTTCGTAACGAGTAGTTTTGGACATGACTTTTTTGAGGTTAGATTTTTCAATTCAAATTTGATGTGAACTTGAACATCATTCAATTCCATACCAAAAAGGTAATTTTCGTAAAACTCGATACTGTGTTCCGTTTTCGGAATATTTCGATTTGAAAATGATGAAGTGCTAACTGTTGCTGGTATAAAGCTATGTATTAGAGTGAGTATTATGAAAAATAATCACCTATTTATTCAAAACCGAAAACAACAATACATGTCTGATGCAAAACTTATTGATTCAACAATGAATCACAAGAATAACATCGAAACAGATTTGCCTAAGAACATGGATTACACAGTTTTGTTGTATCTTGAGCAGAAAGTCTATATATGCTACATATAGGTAAATTCACGTCAAGAGTTGTGAGACATAATTGAACATCACTTAAATGACCTAACAGCTGATCCTCAACTGTTCAAAAGAATAATTCATTCTTAAAAAAAGAATATAGAATCGTGTATTCCTCGAAACGTTGGCTATTTTGAACACTTACTCTAACTGATTCAATATTACATGTTTCTAGTCAAATATCTCTTAATTTTCTACTTATGATTCTTCGTTACATCAATAACTTCAGCACAAGGATAATTTTATTGTTTTTGAATCTGAATAAATAGGTAATTGAACTCAATAAAATTCATTTTATAGCAGGATCATTATTTTCAAATCGAAATATTCCGAAAACGGAACGTACTATCGATTTCCACCAAGAGTACCTTTTTGGTGTAAAATTGAATGATGTCCAAGTTCATATCATATTTGGATTGAAAAATCTAACCTCAAAAAAGTTATGATCAAAACTACTCGGTAGGGACCGTGTAACTAGCGCCATCTATGAGAGCCAGATATAAAAACAAATTCATGCAATGTGTCAGATTTCAAAAAACATCCATACAAAATGTCATTACAATGTTACCAGTTGTTTCGGAATAATCGTGAAATATGTGTAAAAATAATTTTTTCAACACCTTTATTATGAAAACAGATGCCGTTACGACATTTTTTCACTGAGCAAACCCGACTTATTTTGCAATGTTCTACCTACCCTAGCAAGGAGGTAAGTTTTTTTTGAAACACCTTGTATATATATACAGGGTGGCATTGAAATAGGTGCAAATATTTCAATCACTGGGAAAGCTCGACGTGTTCTATCGAATGGAACTAATAAAAAAAAATAGGGATCAAAATGAAATTTGAGGTTAGACCATTTTTCTCACCCAAAGTTCTACACGGTGGACAATCTGACGTCACTTCTGTTCAAATTTTCATGCGGTAGGCACAATCATGCGGAGTTCAATCATTCAAATTGTTTTAAAGTGTCGTACTTGATTTTTACTCGTATTTTTGGCATGAAATTTCTCGTTTATTCACAGAATTATGTGCACTCATTTCAAAAACACCTTGTATATATATATCAGGGCAAAAAGTAATTTATGAAAACAGAGATGAAATTTCAAACATTTTTCCCGTCACAAAGAAATCTAAAGCATAAAATTAATATTTTTTTCATGCATAACTAAAACAGATCATAGCTGACAGCTTATTTATTCAGAATATGAAAATATATAATTTCGAAGAAACATTTAAAATGGACTAAAATTGTTGAATCACAATTTGAATTCGAAACAATGTTTTTCTACGGCTATAACACAAGATCGTCCTTGTAGTACTGTGTTCGATAGATCAATGAGGTACTCAGTATGTCATCAGTTTCATTTCCGTATCTGCTATCACAATGACTACATTGTGTTATTATTTCACAAAATCTCATCTCCCATGAAACATGTCAGCTCTGTCTATGATGAACATGAGCATAACTTGAGAGAAAATCAAATGGCTACAAGCCAAATCACGAAAAAATGTCGCTGTCAACTGTTACGGCCGTAGATTAAGTATAGTATATAACTCGGATTCGTATGATAGCAGCATTCGAAACTTGATTCTCGTAGGAAATAACTATTCCATGGTAATTAAACAATATTCTATTTGCTAGCATGCATTATCAAGCAATGGTCACATATGAAATTATTTGTAATTGGGCGAATTCCTGTGAAAGAAGTAATGGCCAATTCATTTTCATGAGTATAATAAAACCTTTTATTTCTGATTGTAACTCTCGCTTACAATTCCAGAGTTATGAATTACTGGGGAATTATAAAAATGATTCTATTACGTTCGCTATTCTTCTATTCTTCGTAGAAGGAATTAATTCTTTTCAAGGTCTATAAAGAGAAAAATAATACATACAGCTGATTAATTTTTCAGGTAGTAATTCCATTTATTTGCTGGATCCTGATGAATTTTTCTGTATTTCATTGGGAAATATATGTACCGGGTGACCCCATTCAAGACGATCCACCCTTAATAACGTTCCAACCATATTGAAGGTATGATCGAATGAGAAAATGGTTTGACACGTCAACGAATATACGAACGTACAATTTTGAAGTACCACGTGTAGCGTTTCTCCGTGTGATTTGCGTCAAAAATAAAGGTGTTTATAGCGGAATAATTGTGGAAATTAGTACACGCCATATTTACTCAATTGTGTATGTCCAAGTGCTATCAGTTTGTTCCTGCCGATTCCAGAAGTGTATTAAACTACCATTACTTCCAAGGAATACATGCTATTCGTATTGCCGTAAGTGCGATTTTTGTTTCAATCAAATCCTATATCCGAGGAGGGGATACGGTCAGTCGCTGCTGTCTGTGTGTTTTTGGGCAATTCCAAATTCTCGATTTAAATTTAAATCGCCAGTCTCGCTTCGTCTTGGGAGAAGCTCATAGTACCACTACATCAGCTTATCCTTATAACAAAACACGTAAAGGTGTGGATCATGAGTAATTTATCGTTGAAAGACTTATACGATCTCATCAAGAACGGCAACAGGGAGATTAAGGAAGAAATCGCTGAATTAAAGAACTCCCTTGGTTCCGAAATTGCCGCGCTCAGAATCAAAAACGAGGAACTCGCTAATGAAAACGCATTATTACACAAACGAATGTTAAATATTGAACGACGTTCAAAAAAATATAATTTTATAGTATATGGTCTGAATTGTCCTGAGAATAAAACTCGTGAAGAATTATTGAAGATTATCAATAACTCATTAGAAATCAACTGTCATTCGAGAGATTTTCGAGACATTTCTAGAATTGGGGCTACATCTGAAGGTCATAATCGTCCAGTTATCGCAGAAGTTCTAAACCGGGATCTCAAATTATCAATCTTGAACAGAGCACGCTCTGCTACCGCTGAGCTAAAAAAGCTGAACATTATTTTCTCTCAAGATTACGCAAAAGAAGACTACCTTCAGAGGAAATTCATGAACCAACAGCTGAAGTTGGCTAAAAAATCTCACCCCTCGGCAATTATTAGAAGAAACGCCCTAGTAGTTGATGATATATCCTTCAGCTACGAAGAGTTACTGAATAAAGAACAGTCACAGCAACGATTTCCTGCCGGTTTGCCAAATTCTACATCTTCCAGTTCCGATTCTCTTCAGGTGATCGAACGTGACGCCGAGAAAAAAAGGAAATTCAATTTCTCACCTACTAATGACGATTCCAATCTTAAATCCAGACTGAGATCGACATCCATTGCCAAATAGATAGTGTTATTGCTTTTTACCTGTCTTCAATTTTATTTAGTTATATATACCGTTTTTTGCATTATTTTCTTTTTTCCAATTATCTAATTGTAATGAAACATTCAATTAAACTTGCACATCTGAACATACGATCGGTGGTCCCTCATTTTGATGATTTCAGAGAGTTGGTGTATAATAAGTACGAATTAATTGCAATATCTGAAACATGGCTCTCTCCGGTGATTCCTAACAGTACCATCACTCTGGATGGGTACACTTTATTCAGACGTGACAGGCCGGTGGGAAGAGGCGGTGGAGTAGCAATATACATAAAAACTGGCTACAATGCCAAAATAATAAACAATGTGCCTCTAAATAATACCGAACAACTTTGGATATCTTTCGATTTCGGCAATGTAACTTATGCTCTTGGGGTTTTTTATAGACCTCCTAATTTTTCTGCTGATGAATTTTTGACCGATTTTGAATTCTCAATTAGTAATGTCGCACCAAATTTTGATGAAATACTGTGCACGGGGGATTTCAACATTGATTTACTAGATTCCGATAATAG